GAAGTCCATGGCGCGCAGCCTACCAGCGCCACAGCCTGCGGTGGCGCAGCAGCGTCTCAAGGCGGAAATGAAACGAAAAGTAGGTGGGCCACCCCAGCAGTTCTACATCGGAGACAGCATGCAATCGCTGCACCAAACGGGTCGGCCCCACTTCTGGGCCCAGGACCCACAGCACGACGACCTGGCTGTTGTCTCGCTCGGCGGCGCCGGCAGCATGATCGGCAGCAGCTGGTCGGACAACGGCACAAAATAGAATAATACTAAAATCAAAAAAACCGAATAATAATAATAAACATAATAATAATAATACGAATAACAGCAATAATAATCAGACTAATAATAAGAATGCGAATAATGATAATAATACTAGTAACAACTACTACAAACAATTATAATATGTATATGATTAATAATAATATTAATACTAATATGAACAATAATTTTATTAATGATATTAGTAATAAGTAATAATGATAATAATAATAATAATACGAAAAATAATGATGATAATAATACGAATACTAATAATATCGATGTTAATACCAATATTAATAATACCACTACTAATAATAATATCAGTAATAGTAAGAGTAGTAGTAATAATAACAATACTAATAGTAATACTAATACGACTAATGATAATAATAATGTTAATAATGGGAATATTAATAATAATACGAAAAAGAATATTAATACTAATATTATTAATAATACGAATACTAAGAATACTAACAATAATAATAACACTAATACTACGAATATTAATAACAAGAATGCTCATACGAGTAATAATTATAATAATAACAATAGTAATAATAATGATAATAATAATAATAATAATAATAATAATAATCGTGGTAGTAATAACAAGAAGAAGAAGCAGGCGAATAATAAAACAGGTCGTGGATGGTGACTCCACGAAGCAGCGCGACATGAACGAGGATGACACCCTCACGGAGGTGAACGTCGTTCGCCGCGAAGCGCCTAGGCTACGAGTGGGCCACGAAGTACTAAAGGAGGAGACCTTGCAGATCGCTGCGGCCGCCTAGGCTCCATGGAGGTCGCCTGCCTCTCTCCGCACTGCCAGGGCCCCATTGGGGGCCTTGAAAGCGCGGCTGGGGCCATGGGTCGTCCTCGGGGCTCCTGCTTGTCGGCCCTCGGTGGGCCCTCCCCCAGCCTTTCGGGGGCCTCTGGCGGCTTCCGCTGCTCGCTCCATCCCAGGCAGGCGCCGGCCTCCTCGGGGCGCAGGGGCCCCTGGAGTGGGTCCGTATCATCAGAACCCACAGAGCCCCCCTACTCGCTCCTCCCCGCCCCTCCTCGCCCCTCCTCGCTCCTCCTCGCTCCTCCTCGTTCCTCCTCGTTCCTCCTCCTCCTCCTCCTCCTCCTCCTCCTCCTCCTCCTCCTCCTCCTCCTCCTCCTCCTCCTCCTCCTCCTCTCCTCCTCCTCCTCCTCCTCCTCCTCCTCCTCCTCCTCCTCCTCCTCCTCCCCTCCTCCTCCTCCTCCCTCCTCCTCCTCCTCCTCCTCCTCCAACTCCTCCAATTCCTCCTCCTCCTCCTCCTCCTCCTCCTCCTCCTCCTCCTCCTCCTCCTCCTCCTCCTCCTCCTCCTCCTCCTCCTCCTCCTCCCACGGCGTTGCACATTGACTACGGGGACCAGGACCATGCTATCTCTCTGCCCACAGCCACCATCAGTTTGTGGTTTGAGATGCTCGCTTCGTCAGAAGCTTTCAGGAAGAGAGCGGCCAGAGCTTGGCAGAACATTTTGAAGAATTTGCGCGCCACCCCTCGGAACCGCCAGTGGAGGAAGATAAACGGCCTGATCTCGGGCACGATGTCTGTTTTGTTCTCCGCGGGTTGGGACCCCCAGGGGCCGTGGAAGTGGACCCACCCTACTGGCGATAAGTATGAGGTGAGTGAAGATACTTTCGAACCGGACCCTGACTGGGAGCCCTTCTTGGAGGCCTTCAGAGACACCTTGAGGCTCTCCGTCTGGGCCCACGCTGCTAAGCATTATAATGGGGGGGGGGGGCTAGAGCAGGGAGCCGAAACCACAGATATGTTAAAAATGATGCGTGCTTTAGCCAAGAGGTGTTCCAACAAGTTTCGAGGCTCCCTCAGCACGGTCATGACGGCAGGCTTCTGGCCCAAAGCTCGGCTCTCCCAGGCGGGGGTGAAGGTCGACTCTATCTTGTGCCCGCGCTGCCAGGTTGAACCCGAGACCGACCTTCACCGCCGTTGGACCTGTATTGCCAATAATGATATCCCCCGCTGTGCCGACACGCAGCATTTAAAAGACCAAGCAGTTCAAGGTGTTCAGTCGCATCCTTGCTATTGGCTCCGAGGCCCCATCCCCAGAGAGTGGACGGCTATCCCAGAGCCACCAGACGATTTGCATATCCAGCTAGACCCGCGGATCGACGCGCCAAGCTTCCCTGTGCCAGGTGCGATCCGCACAAACTACTAGGAGCCCTTCTCGTGGACGGGAGGGTTTGGCTGAGCGGGGACGCGTCGGGGGGAAAGCACTCTAGCCACGCTAAGCTGCGTCGTATCACCTGGTCAGTTGTCTATGTTGCCGTTGGGGCAGATCCCAGGGAGGTGCCTCTGACTTTATGTGTTTCTGGAGCTTTTGGTGGGGCCTTCCCTGGCCCGCGTCAAGGAATCAACCGAGGTGAGTTGTTTGCCCTCAAGGAGGCCCGTTTGGCGACCCCAGGCAGGGACCTGACTTATGTTACTGACAGCGCCTACGTCCAGCGAGGTGCGTTCAGTCTGCGCTCGAAGGCCCGATGGAGGCCGAAGACGAATCGGGACCTCTGGCACCTCGTCCGAGAGCTTTGGGGGGGGGCCGAGACGTCCTCGTGGTTGAGGTCGCTAGCCATGCGACCGCGTCCGAGTTCGAGCGAGCGCCAGATGAGTTGAATGCTTTGTTTCAATACAACGAGCTGGCTGACAAGCTAGCTGACAGGTTCTCTCCAGCCGCGCAGGTCCCGAGCGCGGCAGCAGATTCCCTCCTGGAGCTCGAGACGGAGGCCAAGGCCATCCGCGCCCGTTTGTCTAGTATGTTGGTTTCGATGCCTTCGTTCCGCCCAGAGGGAGAATGTCCCAGAGCTGCCGCCCAGGGACCTATCAGGAAGAAGTTTGATTTGGCCGCAGAGTTACCCTGCACAGCCCACCTCTTGGAGTGCTCCAGGGTCGATGGTCGTCTGCGTAGGCAGTGGCGCTGTCGTAAATGTTCTTCGGGGCCCCCCTCAGGGGGAAAGGGTACTGTAATTGAGTGGCTCCGCTCCCCGCGCAACCCCTCTCTCATTGTTGGCCCAGCTTCGAGTGCCCCGCGAGAAGTGGGGCCGAGTCGGAGAGGCCTTTTTCTCTGTGCATCCCTCTCACACTATGCGTTGGTGGGAGGCGGGGGCGGGGACGTTGAGGGAGCGTATTTTCGCTTGCTCGAGGTGTGGAGGGCTCGGAACCGACCACTACCGCACCACGGGCAAGCTCATGTCTGAATGCCAGGCCCCCACACGCACGGGCTTGGAGCATTTCAGGGCGCTCGAGAAAGGACGAGCCCCAGGCCATGCGAAGTTGGCCAAGCAGGTCAATGTCCTGAGATAGATTGGGTTGAGCGCGCAGCGCAGAGTCTAATCTAATATAATATCCTCCTCCTCCGCCGCCTCCTCCTCCGCCCCCTCCTCCTCTTCCTCCTCCTCCTGCTCCTCCTCCTCCCCCTCCTCCCTCCTCCTCCTCCTCCTCCTCCTCCTCCTCCTCCTCCTCCTCCTCCTCCTCTCTCCTCCTCCTCCTCCTCCTCCTCCTCCTCCTCCTCCTCCCCTCTCCTCCTCCCTCCTCCTCCTCCTCCCTCCTCCTCCTCCTCCTCCCTCCTCCTCCTCCTCCTCCTCCTCCTCCTCCTCCTCCTCCTCCTCCTCCTTCCTCCTCCTCCTCCTCCTCCTCCTCCTCCTCCCTCCTACTCAAGGCTTCCTCCCCCCATCCTCCTCCTCCCCCTCCTCCTCCTCCTCGTCATCCGCCTCCCCCTACTCGTTGTGGCTCAGACGGTGGGGGGAGGCCCCACCGAGGACCATTCGGACACGGGGGCCGTCCATTTTGTCCATGGTACCCGACCCGACCCCTGCGTTCCTCCACGCGGTGCTTGAGGGGCGCCGAGCAAGCCCAATTCGGGGCCGCTCTCGGCGGCGAAAGCGCAGGGGATCACGCCGGCTACGGGACCCTCACACAAGGGGTCGCGGAGCAAGTGCAGCGGGCGCGGGCGCTGCAAGCACAATGCCACGCTCGAGACCCGCGAAAGGAGATTTGTCGGCCTGTCTGGAGCATTTCTAAGATATGTGTTATTTTTCGTCCAATATCCGCCTGTAGGGGGACATGCCCGACCTAACCCCAGAGGGGGGGATCAGTGGCAACGTCAACCAGGGGGGAGTAGGTTCAAGGGGGGGGACGCATGGAGGGTTTCTCCGAAGGTCTTAGGCGACCTGTCCTTTTCCTCCTCCTCCTCCTCCTCCTCCTCCTCCTCCTCCTCCCCCTCCCCCCCCCCCTCCCCCTCCTCCTTCTTCTCCTCCTCCTCATCGGGTCGCCTACGGCCCCGGGGGAAACCGCCCAGGGACGCATCGACCCCTGGTCGCCCATCCATCGCCCACAGGGGCCCGATTGCGCGCCCCGCCCGCGAACGCACAGCTTCGCTATTGCACGGGGGGCCCATCGCCGATTCATCGGTGCTGTATCGCCGATTCCATCTCGACGTTTCCCCCCCTGAGCTGGTCCCAGCGTTCCCCCTTCAGCTGAAATTGGTGCAGCGTCGGCACTGCGGAAAATCTTTAAAATTTCGCACTTCAGTATGCATTGGCCAGAGGAGTGAGGAAAGGAGGAAAGGGAAGGGCAGTTACGTGGTGAGAGGATCGAGAAGGGGGTGGGTGGAGGGAGGGCGGAGGAGGGAGGAGAGATCCTCCCTGGAAGATCTGGCAAGTCCTTTGCTCAGTGCGCACGGGAGGGGGAAGCGGAACGCCAGGGCTGCCCGCGGTTGGAGTTCCTCTGCCGCATGCGCGCGGGCTACTTAGTGGCGGCCGCTTGCGATGCCCCTCCGAGACTAGGAGAATGCCGTGTTTCTCCAGGCCTCCCAGCTGGGGTCCGAACAGAAGGGGTCCCAGGATCGCGCCGCATCGCCGATGCGGCAATGCGTCGCCGATGCGGCGCGATGTGGAGCCCGATGCTCTCCACCCCGACGTCGCCGATGCAGTGCTAGCGTCGCCGATGCATCGCCAACGCATCGGTAGCAAAAAAAAACTGCGGCAGAAGACCTTCCACAGCTCTACGCAGCTCACGAGGAGGGGCCACGACGGGCCAACGATTTCGGCGGCCCCGGCATCCCCCACCGGATAGCTTTGCTAACTATGCGGGCGGCGGCGGGCTGTGCCGGCCGCTCTTCTCCTCCTCCTCCTCCTCCTCCTTTTCCTCCTCCTCCTCTTTTTCCTCCTCCTCCTCCTCCTCCTCGTCCTCCTCCTCCTCCTCCTCCTAGCTGTCCTGTGCCCGAGCTTTTGGGCATTGCACACACCAACTTCAGGACAGCTTTGTGTGTGCGAGCCAGTTTTTTGGCTTCGGAATCTCTCTCGCATGGCCAAGAATGCTTGGCATCTTCGCAGCAATGGTGGCGGGGCGTGGCCGACCCAGGCACCCTGGCGCGCAGGGTCGGCGGCCAGGGCTGGGCCTCCGTCGGGCCAGTGGGGCACCCAGCCCGACTGCGGTGGCCAATGGAGCTGGTCACCCCCCCGTCAGGACACGGGGTCGTGGTCGGGTCGCCGCTGGCGTTGCGAGGCATGCGGATGCAAGAAGAACCTCGAGGGTTGGATCGCTTGCAAGCACTGCGGTGAGATGCGTGCAGGACCCCCCAGTTTCGTCGGGCAGGGCTGGCCGAAGTCGGGAACCCACTGGCCTGCCCTCAAGCCTGCGCCTGTTCCTGCTCTTGGGGGCCCTGGCAGTGCTGGCGGGCATCCAGCTGGCTCTCCCTCGGCCCAGCTGTCCGAGACCGAGCTGCGGACGCTCATCGGCTTGTGCGAGAAGTCTGGCGACGGCGAGGCGGCCACCCGTCACAAGACGGCGCTCGACAAGCTGCTCCGCACCTCCACTCCTGCCCCCGTCCAGCAGCGTGCAGCCAAGGCCCACAGCAGTGTGCAGTACTGGGAGCGGAAGCTGTCCACGGAGCTCGATAAGCTCACCAAGCTGGAGAAGCAGGTGGAGGAGCAGAAGGTTTCGACGGCGGCGGCTCAGCAGTCCTTGCAGGCTGCTGACGACAACTACAAGGACCTGGTCCGCGAGCTGGCTGGGAACGTGGTCGATCCCACCCCCGCTGAACCTCTCGGGCGTACCAAGGTGGATGTGTCTGAGCTCATGCAGGGCTCGTGCAACGTGCTGGATATGGTCTCGTTGGACTCGATCTTCCTCTTCGACGAGGGCGAGTACGAGGTCTCCGACGAGGACAAGGAGCAGATGGCAGCTCGGCGTGCAGCGCTCAACGAGCAGTTCCGCGAGGCGTGCAACTCCCTCTTCAAGGGGGCGCTGGAGAAGGCTCAGTCTGCTCGTGATGAGCAAGCAAAGCATGTTCAGCGTCTTGGCAAGAAGAGGAAGGGCGAGGACGGCGCGGCCGTCTCTGGTGGCGGTGCAGGGCCAGGCCAGGCAACTGTGGCGAACGGCGCTGGGTCGGGCCCCGACGGCCGCGCTGCTGCCAGCACTGCGGCGGGCCCGCCCGATGGCGAGGCGGCCAAGCAGCCTGGTGAAGCTGGGGATGCACCTCCTGACGTTCGTGCACGTGCTGAAGCAGCCCTGGGCCCCGCAAAGTGCCATTTGCCCCCTCCCGCGTGACTCCGCTGTGAGCGCGGGCAGGGGGGCCCATCACTACATCTCTTCCCAACCTCCATTCTGTGAAGTCTTTAATCGAGCTGAGCTTGAGGATCGCCTTGCTCAGTCCATTCGCTCTCTTGATAAATATATAGCCGCGCTGTTGTGTTCCGCCAACAGTACCCGAGGCGTCTGTAAACAGGGGGACGTTTGCAAAAAGCGAGCTGGTGTTCAGCCCAATCTTGCGTTTTCCCCTGTCGGCCCGCAGGCTCCTCTTCCCTCAGGTTCGGTTTCCCGGCCTGAAAGTTTTGAAGTTTTTAAGGCCCCCCCAGCCCCTGGGGGGGATGCCATAAACCTGAAGATAGTCACATGCAATTGCACGGCCTGGAGTTCTGCTAAGGATTGGCTCTTGCAGACGGCGGCGCACGTGGTGTTGCTCCAGGAGCACCACTTGCTCGTGCACCAGATCCCAGACGCTCAGCGCTGGGCCCTTAATCACGGTTGGAAATCGATCTTCGGGAGTGCTAAGGCCTCGTCAGACTTAGGCACTTCAGGAGGGGTGGCTATTCTAGGTCGGTCAGGTTTGGGCCTCCATTGGCCCCCAGGGGGTTATGTGGTGGAAGACTATCGTGCCGTTGCTGGGGTTGTTCATGTTGGGGACCTTCCTCCCATCCTGTGCATCTCCTGCTACTTGTCGTGCTGCGAGGGCTTGTCCGACAGGAACTTGGCCCTGCTGTCGAGGATCGGTACGATTGCCAGTAGCAGTCTCAACAGTTTTGTGATCGGAGGCGATTTCAATATGGAGCCTTCGTTGCTAGACGACTCCAACTTCGTTCAGCGATTAGAGGGCCAGGTGATCACGGCCGGTTTGTCCACTTGTCTTAGCTCAGCTGGTGGGAAGGTCTATGATTTTTTCGTGGTCTCTGGGGGCTTATCGAAAGGTGTCAAGGGTACGTGGGTCGACAGGTATGCTCCGACGCCCCCTCACTCGCCTGCGGGGGTCGATTTCCATGCCAGGTTAGCCGATCTTCGAGTCTTACAGTTCAGAAAGCCTCCTCCTTTGCCTGTTGAAGTTCCTGTCGGGCCTGGACCTGCTCCTCAGGACTGGGATGCCACGCCGGTTTTAGCTAACGGAGTACTTGACTGTGCCCGTCGGGGGTCTCTGGACGCTCACTATGGGCTCACCGACTTGTATAAGCGATGGGCCAACCTTGCCGAAGCTGAGCTTGCCGATCAGCTCCAGGTTAAGCTCCCTAAAACTGGGTGTCGAGGTGAGATCCCCAAGGTCTGGTGGGTTCCTGTCTTGGGGCGTGACCAGCGCCCCGCTCGGCATCCTGAACTATTTGTGTGTAGATGGCTCTCGCAGAGTTTCAGGGATTGGACTACTTCTTGGAGGACCTTGCAGGGTAACTGTTCGGGCGGGATCCCTATCGAGAGTGCCAAGAAGGTTCTGGAGTCCCCCTCGCCGTTCATTCAGAAGCATATGGGGTCTGGCGCTATCTTCGAGGCTCATCGTAGAGTTTTGGGTTTCATTGGGCAGGACGAGGTCACCTTGGAGGCCATAGGTAGCGTGTCCATCGAGTTAGCCGACTTGCTGGACTCGACCGCCAAGGCGGCTCGAGCTGCTGGAGAGCGGTCGTGGAAGGAGTGGCTTCTAAGGGACATTGACCAGGGTGGTGGCCGCAACGCCCATGCCTGGACGCGTCCTGTAGAGGCTTGGGCCCCCTCCACCTCCCTCAGCGCGGCGGGCCAGGTGGTTTCTGATCCTCGTTCCCTTCTGCGCGCTGAAGGGGAACGCTTCCAGAAGCTATGGCTGGCCGAAACCGATTTGTTCGATTTGATGGATCCCAAGCCTTATCAACCCTTGGAACATCTCCCTCTGGTGTCACCTGATTGCTTGAGGGAGAAGAGCAGGGGGTACGCCAAGCGGTCAGCTGTGTCTGTTGATGGCTTTCACCTTCGGCATTACGCGCTGCTGTGTGACAAGGCTCTGCAAGATGTCTCGTTGCTTTTCGCCATCATGGAGACGATGGCCGTCTTGCCTGAGCAGTTGCGTTTGGTCATGCTGGCTATGCTGGCCAAGCCGCTGGGCGGCCTCCGCCCCATAGGCATCTTCACCTCGCCCTACAGACTCTGGGGGAAGTGCAGGAGGAGGGAGGCGTTGATGTGGGAGGAGGCTAACCAGCATGCGACGTTTGCAGCCTATGGTTTCAAGTCGGCCTCGGATGTCGTCTGGCGGCAGACTGCCAAGAGTGAAGCGGCTGTCCAGCAAGGCAAGTGCTCGGCGTCCCTCCTCTGGGACATGTATAAGTTCTATGAAACCATGGACCTAGAGGACCTCGCGACAAGATGTGACGAGTCGGGTTTCCCGCAGGTGGTTTCCAGGCTTTGTATTACGGCCTATCGGGCCCCCAGGTACATAAACATCAGTGGGTTCATCCAGGGGCCGTTCCTGGCGATCCGTGGCGTCATTGCGGGATGCAGCATTGCTACTAGTTTTGTCAGGGTCTATTACATGAAAGCCTTTGTGAATGTCCAGCTGCATCCGTCGTCCAACCTGGATCTTTTCATTGATGACCTGGGTCTGTCTGCTCAGGGTTGCTTTCAAGAAGTTTATTCGGCCATCACCGTCGGGGCTGTGGGCTTGTTCAAGGCTGTGGAGGCCGATATCAAGTGCCAGGTCGCTCCTGACAAGGCGAGCCTCGTATGCAGTCAGCGGCGTCTGGGGGGAAAACTTCTGGCCTTCTTGGGTGTCTGGGCCGGCCCTGGGGGGACCTCTTCGGCTGTCAACCTGGGGACAGACGATACCGCTGGGCTGCCTAGGAGGGTCAAGGGCCGTTGTAGGAAAGCGAAGCAGCGCCGCTCCACCTTCGACAAGCGTGTCAGCAGGATCAGCAAACAACGTCAGGTCCTGGGCCGATCCGCTAAGAAGATTTTCACCAGTGGGGCATTGGCGGGGATCAATTTCGGCTGCGAGATCCACGGGGTCAGTGACGCCGAGCTTGCCCACATCCGCCGCCAAGCAGGCAAGTGTCTTAGGCCGTCTTGTGGCGGCCGCAGCCTCTCTTCTGCCTTGGTTTGTGAGGACGACCCCACTTACTACGGGATGGTCGCACCTATCGTTCGGTGGGGAAAGGAGTTATGGGCGGCCCAGTATCATCAATACTTGGGGGGTATGTCTCATAAGGAGCTCCGTAGGTGCTGGTCGTCAGTGTTCGAGGGTAAGCTGCAGCCCAAGACGTGGCGATCTGTCGCTGGCCCGATCTCTGCCCTCTTCTTGTCTGTCAAGCGCATCGGTTGGTCCATGCCCAACTACGCCACTCTCGCCATGCACGACGGCACATTAGTCTCTCTCACCTTTGTCAGCCCAACCCTCTTGAAGGACATCCTCAGGCGGGCAGTGGTGAGGGGTCTTGAAATGCATGTGGGAAGTAGCTTGGATGTTGGGTGGGATCGGGCTTGTTTCGACATTTGCAAGAGCCAGATGCGATCGAAGAAATATACTGCATTGGAGAAGGGTTCGATCAGGAACCTTTGCTGCGGTGGGGCCTGGACTGCCGACAGAGCCGCAGAGGTGGGCTACCAGCTCAGCGACGAGCAGTTGCTCTGCCCTCTATGTCGTGCTCATCCAGACTCTGTGCACCACAGACTTTACGAGTGCCCCGCAGTGTCCGAGACTCGCAGCGAGCTTATCCCTCCAGAGATCCTAGAAGTTGCCCTGGGATGGGGATCGCATCCTTTTCGATCGGGGGATCTTCGAGCATCCCGAATCGTTCTGACCAAAGGCCCTTAGCTCGGGGGGTGGGGCCATTTTGCCAGCTGCTGAGGAAGAGGACTTCTCGGAGGCGCTCGCTAATGGGGACTTGCAGGGCAGTATCTATGTTGACGGGAGTTGTTTCTGGCATCCCATCTCAGAACTTTCAAGGGCGGGCTGGGGGGTTTGCATGGTCTCCCCCCAGGGCTCCCTCTCGTGCGCCCTGCATGGTCCTGTGCACCACCCGATCAGCCAGACAGCACCAGCTGGGGAGTATTGTTCCCTTGCCATGGCTGCTCTCCACATCGTAGCCAATTCTGAAGTTTTTTTCTGACTGCCTTGCGGTAGTTAATCATTTCCGCCTGCCCCCTAGTGAACGATTGTCGTACAGGAGGCGCTATGCTGGCCAGTTTCTGTACATCAATAATGCCCCTTTCGTCCAGTCTGTGGTGAAAGTGAAAGCCCACCAGGATGTGGACGAGAGCGGCATATCTGATGCTGAGAGAATCCGTAGAGTAGGTAACGATTTTGCCGACAAAGCTGCGCAGCGCGGCGCCCGCTCTCACCCCCAGCCGTCGCCCGAGGAAGAAGAGCGAGTGAACCGCGCCGTCAAAATCAGTAAAGTCGTTTGCCGTCTCGCTGCCAAGTTGCTGCCGCTGTGGCCACGCTTGAATCTCGAGGACGCTCCGCTGGTCACCCCTTGTCGCACCACCTGTGGTCCCGTGGAGCCCTCGGTCCCGCATCAGTGGCAGTGGCAACACTCTGTGTGGAGATGCATTGTGTGCAGGGTAGGTTCTCGTTCTTGCGCCATGCCGCCTGGCGGATCGTGCATCGGCAAAGCCAGCGCTGATCTGGACATCGCTGATTCTCTTTTTCATAGCGTTGTGGTCCTGCCGTGCACGGATGGTGCCGATTTCTATTTCTGCCCCAAACGCGGGGGCTATATGCACCAAGCGGTTTTTGTCAAGACTGCTTTGTCCAAGGAGTGCCCCAACGAGCTGCGCGGCCACGGCCGCACTAATTTTAACAAAGTCATGCGAGGTCGCCACCCAAGGAAGAACTTGGGAGTAGGCCGACCTGAAGAATTGCCCGCAAGGGCGATTCCCCACTCCGCCCTCGTGCCTCCCTCCTCCTCATCGCCCGTCCCCAACTTTTGATTCGGATGGTATCGAAATCCACGGTCTCAGAGCGCCTTCCCGCGAAGGGTCGTACCGTTTTTGTGTTTCGTCCCGACCCCTGCAGACCAGGGGTCGGTGATCCGCCCAGCCTCCGATTTTGGTGCCGAGTCTCGGCCCAACAAGGTTGCTCGTCACACCGCCAATTGTGACGAGTCAGTGCAGCAGGCTGTGAATTCTTTTCCCTCGGCTCCCTCCAACGAGAGTGGGGCGAGGGGCCGCCGCTGTTTCCACGGCATTGCGGGACTGGCAGCCGTCTCGGCGTGAGTCCCCCCGCAGTTGCCGTGACGTCAGCGGTGGGGCAGGGCTGGTGGCGAAAGTGGCAGGTGGCGCCACCCAGCCCTGCCCCCTCCTCTGGGGGGAGGCGCCGTCCCCCCAGAGAGTATGGCTTGGCAGTTGTGGATGTCAAAAAAAATCCTCCTCCTCCTCCTCCTCCACCCCTTCCTCCTCCTCCTCCTTTTCCTCCTCCTCCTCGTCCTCCTCCTTTCTTTGGTGCATTAGCGGCCGCGGGCACGCGTGGGCTGCGCTGTCGCCTCGGTTGGTTTGGCCACCCGGAAAAAAAAATAAAACATTTATACAGGCAAGTTGTTTACGGGATTGTGATATTCTCCAGGCGTTGGAAGGGTTTCTCGGGGGCCCCCAAACGGGGCGGTGACCACACCGTGCGGTGAGTCGGTGGGGATTCGGAGTCACCGCGCGGTTTTGGGACTCGGGTCGTTCTCCGAGGACGTCTCGGGCGACGGGGGCCTCCAGGGTCCCAAAACCGTGCGGTGACGGACCGTGCGGTGAGGTTTTGGGGGATTTCGAGGTCACCGCACGGTGTGTCACCGCACCGTTCCGGGACTCCAAAGCTTCGGGGCCCTCGGGGCCGCCTTCGGGAGGCTTGGTGGCAGCTGGGAACCGTGTTGGGGCGGCCGTGGCACCTCTCGGAGGCATGCTGGAAGCCACGTTGGGCTTGGGATGGTCCAGCCTGCTTTAGCCGTGATCACCAAAATGTCGAGCACCGAGAAAGTATCAGAATTGTGGGTGTGTCACGTCTCGGGCCCTGGGAGGCGATATTCGTTCAGCACTTCGCCAGCGTGTCGGGCAAACATTGCTTCGATACTTCGCTGGGTGCCCGAAATCGAAAGTATTTCTCGGATGTTGCCCTTAAGGACGATAGGAGCAACACAATGTTGAGCATCTGATGAAGAAACCTCCTCCCGAAAAGCTGGGCCAGCTTTTCTTAACCAACTTGCCGGGAAGCTGGCCCATTTTCTTAAGCACGTTCGCCCCTGCAGCTTAGCCAAAACAGTTGGCCCGGGTTCATTTCGAGAAATATCTTGGAATTTGGTCCATGTGTCTTAAATCATCGTTTTTGTCCGTCTCGGGTTACCTGAGTCCGTCTCGGAGCCATGTTGGGCCGTCGAGCAAACAGATGATCCCCCGAAGGCTCGATCGATGCCATCGATCCCCGATCGCGGCGACGATGGACGGCGAAGAGCGGCGACAACCGTTCTTCTCTGGGCCTCCCAGATGGGGTCCGAGCAGATGGGGTGGGAGGATCGCGCATCGCCGATGCATCGGCGAATCGGCTCGATGTGGAGCCCAATGATCTCCTCGCCGGCGTCGCCGATGATCCGCCGACGCATCGACGATGCGGTGCGAACCACCCGACCCCATCTACTCAGAGGAGCAAGAGGTCACGAGCACGAAACGTTGCAACGTGTGCTCGTGCTCCGAGCGGGCTGGAGACCGCATCGCGACACCATCCTCGCCCCACCTGCTCCGACCCCTATCTGGAATGGTTCCATCGAAGATCGAGCTCTTCCTCCTCTGTCGCAGCCCGAGGCCAGTTTTTAGGGCGGGCCGGGCGTTTCGCCTGAGACCTCATCACCACTCATGACTCTGAAGCTTAAACATTGGCAACAGCTTCGCTGTTTCACAGATGGAGGACGAGTCGTTTTCAAAATGTCGCTCTCGCCTTAGCGCTGCGCACATTCGTATTCAAAATGTGCAAGAGATTCACGGATTGAGGGCGGGTTCAAAATGAGGTGCTCGCCTTAGCGCCGTGCACATTCGTTCTAAACAGTTGCAAGAGTTTCACGAAATTAGGGCGGGTGGTTTTCAAAATATGGTTCTGGTTTCAGCGCCGTGCGCATTCGCTTGAAACATTTGCAAGATCTCCGCGGATTGAGGGCGGTTCTTTTTCAAAATGTGGTTATCGCCTTAGCGCCGCGCACATTTTTTATGACATTTGCAAGAGTTCCACGGATTCCCATGATCAACGTACCAGAAAATAGTGTTTGGGAAGGATTCGGGATTATGCAGGCACAATACTTACGTTGATTCGCAGTGTTGAATTCCCAGGAATGGTGTTCTGGCACGATTCTGGATCGTCAAGACGCGACAGTCAGGTTGATCCGTGGCGCTGGCATCCCGAGCTCAATTTGTTTGGCATGTTTCAGGGTCTTCAAACGGTTGTCCCCCAACGAGGCAGTTCCCTCAATGGACACGAACCGTTGTAGGGGCCTTTGAAGAGGGAGCCTGGAGGGAGGCTGTACTCCAACATCGTTCATGACGCTTGGGTTTACACTGGTCCTCCTCCTCCTCCTCCTCCTCCTCCTCCTCCTCCTCCTCCTCCGCCTCCTCCTCCTCCTTCTCCTCCTCCTCCTCCCCATCCCCCCTCCTCCCTCCTCCTCCTCCTCCTCCTCCTCCTCCTCCTCCTCCTCCTCCTCCTCCCTCCTCCTCCTCCTCCTCCCTCCTCCTCCTCCTCCTCCTCTCCTCCTCCCTCCTCCTCCTCCTCCTCCTCCCCTTCCTCCTCCTCCCCCATCGTCCTCCTCCTCCTCCTCCCCCATCCTCCTCCTCCTCGCTCCTCCTCCTCCCCTCCTCCTCCTCCTCCTCCTCCTCCTCCTCCTCCTCCTCCTCCCTCCTCCCCTCCTCCCCCTCCCCTCCTCTTCGTGCCCGAGGGACCGATCGAAGATCGAGCCGCGGGCCGCGGCCCGCGCCGGCGGGCGCGGAAGCTCTCCGAGGTGGGCCCCGTGCCCTTCGGCGCCGGCGCCCTCTCCTCGGCCTTCGAGCCGCTGGACGGCAGCCAGGGCACCGTGGCGCGGAGGCCAGGCCGCGGGGGGCAGCTGAGCGACGGCACAGGTTGGCTTCTTCGTTTCTCGTTTGCTTCTCCTCCTCCTCCTCCTCCTCCTCCTCCTCCTCCTCCTCCTCCTCCTCCTCCCCCTCCCCCTCCTCCTCCTCCCCCTCCTCCTCCCCCTCCTCCCCTCCTCCTCCTCCTCCTCCTCCTCCTCCTCCTCCTCCTCCTCCTCCTCCTCCTCCTCCTCCTCCTCCTCCTCGCGTGCGCGGGCATCGGCGCGTAAGCTGGCCGCGCGAGGCCGCGCGTGAGCGCCTTCTCTTTGCAGTGCGGCGTTCTGCGCTGGCGGCCCGCGTAAGGCCGCCATGCCATCTCGCGGGAGGCCCGTCTCTCTTGGTCTCGAGCAGTGGCGAAGCGTCCTGGCTCGCCCATAGCCCCACCGAACAATGTTCTAAGAACCTGTTGTGGTTTCCACGAAATGTTCCTAGAGCAGTTCTGGTGAGACGGTCTTGTTTTGTCACATCGGGTTTATGTTCTGTGAACATTGTTTTTGTTATTGGAACATGTTGGGGTTTAAGAACATTTCGTGGTTGGACTATAGGAATGTCGGGACGGTCGGTCCCTGCTCAATAGTCGCTCATCGGGGAGGCCTTCAGTGTCAGGGGTTCCCAGATGGGGCCCGAGCAGATGGGGCGGGAGGATCGCGCCGCATCGCCGATGCATCGACGATGCGGCTCGATGTGGAGCCCGATGTCCTCCGCGCTGGCGTCGCCGATGATCCGCCGACGCCGCCGATGCATCGGTGATGCATCGGCGATGCATCACCGATGAAGCGACGATGCGACGCGATCCTCCGACCCCATCTACTCGAACCCCGTTTGGGAGGCCTCCACAGGGGCAACGCTGGGGGGGAGTAGGCTCGAGGTTCGAGGTGTTCGGACGGTTTCGGGGGATCCTGGCGACCCAGGGTGGGCCTTTCGCGGGCGACGTGGCGACACCGAGTATTCGGGGTCGGGGAGTGGCTTGCGAGATCTGGGTTCCGGGAGCGGTCCCGCGGACGCGCCGTCGCACGGGCACGTTCCGCGCGGGGCATCCGCGAGCAAGACGCCCCGCGTGTCCACGGGGTCGCGGTCTGGCCCGCGAGGCCGTGGACGTGCGGATGTGCTTTCCGCCCGCCGTTGCCCCTCCCCCCTCCTGGCGCCTCCTTGGGGCCTCCTGGCAGCCTCTTGGGGCGGAAGACTCCGATCTTCCGTTTGTGTTCCCCCTCTTGGGCCCCTCTTGGGGCTGTCTTGGGGCCCTCTTGGGTCGTCTGGGGGCCCTCTTGGGGGCCTCTTGGGGCGGTCTCGGGGGCTTCTTAGGCCATCTTGGCGCGTCGGAAGCATCAAACAATCGAGGACCCCAAAAACATTGAAAACTCAAACCGAAATCCGTGATTTTGGCCTCTCGGGCCCCCCCCCCTTGCGAAGGCTCTTGGGGCTCTCTTGGGCGTGTTGAAGGCGTCCTGGGCCGTCTTTAGGCCATCGTGGGCGTCTTGGACCGGTCGTGCGGCGATTCGGGGCCCTCCTTGTCGACCGCCTTCGGGGCCTCTTGGGACCTTGGGGCCGCAGAGTCGCGCGACGGGCCGCGGCGCACCCCATGGGGGGCAGGCGACGAGCCCCAAGAGAGTTGGCCATGTTGGGGTCTGGGCCCTCTTGGAGAGTCCTTAGGACTAAGTCGGGTGTGTCCCCCTACAGGGAGATTTTTCGACGAAAAATAAAGAATACCCCCAAAAAATGCCCCAGAAAGGTCAAAAAATAGTCCAAAAATAGTCCCCAGACAATGTTTGGATTATTTGTTGTTTATTGTTGGGGTATTTCTTATCTTTCGTCGAAAATCCCCCTGTAGGGGGACAGGCCCGACTTAACCTTAGGATTCAGGACTGCGGCCCCGGTGGATCCAGCAAGGACCCGAGGACGCTCCACCTCGTGCCTCGAGGGCACGAGTGCTCGGACAGCTGCACAAGCACGAGTGTTCGGCGGCCTGCGCGATGTTCTTGGGTCGGCGCTGGGTCCCCCCCCCTCCCCCTGCCGCGCGAAGCGCGCCAGGGCCGGCGCCTCTGGGGAGGAGGGACCAGCGCCGAGCCAAGACATCACCTCCGAGAGTCTATGTTCATGCAGCTGGTTCGTTCTAGAGCTTGGATCGGGTGCTGCTACGGGTGTCCATGGCCTTGTGCATCTACAGGACTTGCGACGAGGCCCCACAGACTCCAGAGCACTTCTCACGAGGCCCAGAGGGCCAGACGATGCGGGACAGACGACCTTGAGCCAGCGCCAAGGGCCAGGGACGATGCGGGACAGGAACAACCCCAACAGGAAGAGAGCCAGACGGCAGAGCTGGGGGACGTCGACCGACCACCCCACCGATGCTGGCCCAGCCGACCTTGAGCCTTGAGCCCAGGTTCGGTGCACATGGCTTCCTGGCCAAGCCAGGAGGGCGTGATGCATCGATCCTGGGCTGGGATCCCTGAGATCCGACGTGGCGACAAGCTTACGGCGACCCCCCCAAAAAAACACGCCGGCCGCATCGATCCGTGGGGGCCCCTCGGCCCGGGGCAGGGCGAGAGCTCCCGTTGTGACGTCTCGACGCCAGGATCTCGGGGGGGGTGCAGTGGGGGCCCGACCACGAGAAACCTTCCCGCAAGAAACCCAACCCCGAGGCCCCAGGACGTCCACCGATGCATGGCGTGGGAACGCCACCCTCTCCGTGGCAGAGCCGTCGAGACCCAAGAAGCCCAGGGCACCCTGGAGGCGAGCAGGGTGCTTCTTGGCACGGGCCCCTCCAACTGCAGCGCGGTCCGCCGGCGCCCCCCGAGCAGAGGAGGCGGGCGAGCTCTTGGGCGCTCTGCCCCCCCCCCGGACAGAGGCGCGGGTCCACCGCGGAGCTCGCCCACAACGGCGCCTTGTGGGCGCCGCGCACCGAGGATCTACAAGGTACCTCGGGCCTCTCCGTGGCCGTCTCGCCTCCTCCCTGGTTCTCCTCCACCGCCTCCTCCTCCTCCTCCTCCTCAGCAGCAGCATCATTCTCCTCATTCTCCTCCTCCTCCTCCTCCTCCTCCACATCCTCCTCCTCCTCCTCCTCCTCCTCCTCTCCTCCTCTCTCCTCCTCCTGCTCCTCCTGCTCCTCCTCCTCCTCCTCCTCCTCCTCCTCCTCCTCCTCCTCCTCCTGCTCCTGCTCCTCCTCCTTTCTCATCCTCCTCCTCCTCCTCCTTCCGCCTCCTCCTCCTTTCCCTCCTCCTATTCCTCCTCATCCTCCTCCTGATCATCAGCAGCATCAGCAGCATCATCATCTTCATCTTATTCAGCATCATCAGCATCATCATCAGCAGCATCATCATCATCATCATCATCATCATCATCATCATCATCATCATCATCATCATCATCATCATCACACCACCATCATCATCATCATCATCATCATCAGCAGCATCATCATCATCATCATCGTCATCGTCATCATCATCATCATCAGCATCATCATCATCATCGTCATCGTCATCGTCATCATCATCAGCATCATCATCAGCATCATCGTCATCAGCATCATCATCGTCATCATCGTCAGCATCATCATCAGCAGCATCATCATCATCATCGTCATCATCATCGTCATCATTATCATCAGCATTATCATCATCATCGTCATCATCAGCACCAGCAGCATCATCAGCAGCAGCATCATCATCATCATCAGCGTCGTCATCATGTTCAACATCAGCATCAGCATCATCATCACCAGCAGCATCATGAGCATCAGCATCGTCATCATCAGCATCATCAGCAGCAGCATCATCAGCATAATCAGCATCATCATGGTCGTCATCATCATCATCATCATCATCAGCAGCAGCAGCAGCAGCAGCATCATCAGCATCATCATCCTAATCATCAGCATCGTCGTCATCATCATCAGCCCTCCTCGCCCTCCTTGCCCCGACCGACCCGGGAGGAGGTTTCGTACGAGTTGGTATGCCCTCCAAGGTTTTCCAGCCTCGATATGCGTTCCGGCAGCTGCGCCTCGACGAGGGCGTTCTGGGGTGCCTGGATCGTCCCGAGCGGCAGTTGGGGACCCCAGCGATGGCCCGAAAACCGAGTGACCCTGATTTCGTCGTCTATTTCTCCTCCTCGTCTTGCTCCTCCTCCTACTCGTCCTCCTCCTCTTTCTCCTCCTCTTCCTTCTCTTCCTCCTCGTCCTCCTCCTCGTCCTCTTCCTCATCCCTCCTGCTCCTCCTCCTCCACCTCCTCCCTCCTCTTCCTCCTCCTCCTGCATGCCTTTTCCTTACAAATAACTTCTCCCTGTCGCACCCCGAGGCCAGTGTTTAGGGCGGGCCGGACGTTTCGCCTGAGACTTCCTCACAATGTTTGACCCTGAAACTTATAAATTGGCAGCAGTTTCACAGATTGATGGCGGGTCGTTTTCAAAATCTGGCTCTCGCCTTAGCGCCGCGTTCATCCGTGTTAAAAACCACAAGAGCTTCACGGATTGAGGGCGGTTCTTTTCCAAGATGTTGTTCTCGCCTTGGCGCCGCGCACATTCGTTGTAAGTTGCAAGAGCTTCAAGAATTCCCATGGTCAGCGTACCAGAAATGTTTTGGAACGATTCAGGATTATGAGGGTGAAGGCAACAATTACGTTGATTCGCTGTGTTGAAGTTCAGGAATGGCGTTCTGGCACGAATCGGGGTCGTCAACACGCAGCAGTCAGGTTGATCCGTGGCGTTAGAATCCCGAGAACACTGTTTTGGCATGCTTCAGGGTCTTCAAACGGTTGTCTCCCAACGAGGCAGTTTCCTCAGTGGAAATGAAACGTTGCAGGAGCCCATGAAGAGGGATCTTGGAGGGAGAGTTGATTCCAACATCGTTGATGCCTCTTGGGTTTACACTGGTCCTCCTCCTCTTCCTCCTCCTCTGACTCATCTTCGCCCATGTTAGCCGACGGTGTTCCCGCTAGTTGTTCAGCGCTGTAATTTCTCCGACTTGCTCAGTACACCATCGTCTGCCCTCTCAGGGGACTGGTTAGATGCCAGAGCTGGCGTGCCAGACTTCCTGTCCCGCCTTGTCTATGGACGCCTCGCCCCACCCACCGTGCTTCGAGGGAGGGAGAAGCACCCCGACCCCTTTTTACCTCAGACCAGGAAAACTTACCGATCCCGCTAATTGCGCTGGCCTTGTTTTTGCCTTGTTGAGCCTCCTTGGAGGCCCTCGTCGCCAAAGCTGGATTCGCCTCAAGGCTCCTTGGTCAGAACGCACCCCGCGAGAGGTCCAGGGAGTAATTAGCGGTACAAATCTTAGTTCCCCGACTATTGGGGCTTATTGGGCCGTCTTGGTCGTTTATTTAGCAGTTTCGCCTTGCTCGGCGCCTTCCTCTGATACGTCGATTTTACAGCTGCGCTTGCGGGAGTGATTACTCTTCACGCTTCGCGTATCCCCACCATCCCGTTCAGAAAGTTTGCCCATGAGAGTTGACGCGAAAAGTGATAAGGAGACACAAATGGTTAAACAAAGCTTGGCTGATCCATGGAGAACAGGGGCAAGGGGAGGAGGAGGAGGAGGAGGAGGAGGAGCAGAGCAGAGCTGATCCTCATGGAGTCCCTGTCAAGATCCCGACCTCGAAGCTCGAAAAAAGCTTGACTGTACTCTGAGAGGGTTCCTTCGAAACCAGACGACTAACGATGCGAGCCCCTCTCAGGCTCACAGCAAAGACTGCACTGGCCGATGGGCACCCCGATAGGCACGCAGCCCTCAGGGGGGGCCCATACATCAGGCGCGGCGACCTCGTCCCTTCCCCCGCCCACCAGAGCTCGCCCCCCGCCCCCCACTCCCGACGTGTCGGCCACCACGGCCTCGATTCGAAGGCATATTAATTACTGGGATCTCAGGAGCTGTTGTCACTGCGATACCTTCCGGGAGACAAATTGGGATCCTACTTACTGCCCGAGCAATCTGATCCTGCGTCACCCTACCTGTTGCTACGAGTGATGCTAGCCTCTCACTACTGGCCATCATCGGAAATCTACTAGCTAGCCTTTCACGACTGTCATGCACACTGCTATCCCTCTCTGGCACTACCTGGGGGGGCGCCTCACGTACTCCTTGCGGTCGAACTTCGAGGTCTCCCTCTCCAGTGGTCCCCACGGGGCCGCGCCCGAAAGGAAGGAGCCCCCCTCCACCGCCACCAACGTTTCCACCATCGGGCCGATCACCACCCCCAGGTCGTGATGAGTATTCACTTTGAAGAGACATGTTGCCTTGTCTTTCTGGCCCTCGACCCTGCGATGAATCTGGACGCGGAAGTACTGGACAGCAGGAGCGATATCTGACAGCGGAACCTTCGCCAACTTCTCGTCCCATAACTCCCGCATGTCCTCTGCCACCGTCTTGGTAGCTCCGTACTCCCATACTGCCATGAAGATTTGTAGATGAGGAGCGGGACGTCCTTTGTGGTCCACCATCTCGCCACCGTCTGCGCGCTTCTTCATCTCTGTGCTCGTCTCGTTGTCTGCCACTCCTGCCGCGACTGCGGCTGCGATCATGCCCTGCCCTGCGTCCAACTCGTACCTCAAGTACACCACGGCTCCGAGGTCGACCAGCTCTCGATTGCTGATTAAAATCAACTTGCATATGACCACGATGATTTTGTCGAAAGGAATGCGACCACCCTGGCTGCCCGACTCCTTCTTGCGTTTGGCGTCGGGCTGAGTGCCATCGGCTCCTGGGGAGGCGACACTCTTGAACCAAGCAGGTCTCTGGAGAGCCTCGACTTCCATGATGAAAGCCGTGCACGTCGGTACTGATCGTACGAGTAGTTGATATGAAGGGCGCTATCTGGACAGGCAGATGGCTTCGGAGATGGCGACAGAGAGACAGCGCATCCTCTCCCACATAGTCACAGCATGGGCACTCATAGGACGACGGGGTAACCATCGGGGCCAGTGCACGAGGTCCACATGTGAGGCAGTTTCCCTTTTGTAGTGATCGAAGTAGGTGACGGGCGGCAGTAACTTGCGTTGCAAAGGTCTGCAAACAGTGGATGCAAACGTTGCTAGGTGTTAATACATGTGCTAGGTTGCGCAGTTGATGACAATGCCGTAGATGTTCAAGTAGCTGCTTACGGGTACTGAAGGCGCTCTTACAGGGCTCCCCATTGAGGTCCATCGGGCACACAAAAGGCAACTCAACCTCTGCGTGATCTTCAGGCTCTTCAGGAGGGACCACTGGTGGAGCGTATCCAGGAGGGGGGATGCAGACAGAGAAAGCTTGGCTCCGAAGCTCAGTCATATCCACTCTCTGCAAATCCTCTGAGGCCTCCAAATCGGTGAGAAGACGCAAATCATTGGCAACATCTCGCACGCTCTCGTAAGGGAGCAGCCTGGAGACGATCCAAATCGGACGCCACCTGTTTTGTCCAAGGCGAAGAGTTCGATGCAGGTCGCCCTGCACACATTGGAGGTCGCATGAGTTCAATAGGAGACGAGCCAAATAATGCGCATAAAATCTGAGCATGTTCCTCAGGGTGCGCACTCCACGACTGATACAGCTTAACTCTGCGAATCAAGAGCTCCAGCGAGGAGGGGACCAGCTTCCAATACTCAAGTACCTGTTTAGTCGATAATGATTTCACATGCGGGCCCTCCCAGGATGTAGCTTTCCCCATCATAGCGATACGCCCCAGACGAGCCAAGCAGCCATCTAAAATCGTAGTGTCCGTCTCCGTGACCACGAAACTTTCTAGTCCACTTAGTTAAGCGTTCTGAACGAACCCGATGAAGAGGCTACGTTTCCATCTTTTCGGGATCCCAAGACTCCACGCCCTGCCCAAGGAGAAAAAGCCCGAGCGAGCCGCCGAGCACCTCTTGGAGATCTCAGGTCTAGCCGAAGCGCTAAGCTGCAAATAAGGCCCAAGATATCTAGCTTCTTCCCGAACGGAGCCCTG